CAAGATACCTATCAGGTAGTCCAAATGTTAACCTTAAAACTATATTCACCTTAAATCCAGCAACTCTGTTGCCAGAAGATGAAAACAGGCTAATACAACACGACTGCTCAGAGATCTTGAGACTCTTTGCTCCAGTAGGTTGGATCTGCTTGGTCAGCCTATCACAGAGCTGGACTGGAAACTCTTCACCAATGGGAGCAGCTTCATGGACAACAGCCAGCAGAAATCTGGAAATGCTGTGGTCATGCAGCCACAGATGCTCAAGGCTGAGGCTTTGCCACTGGGAGCATTGGACCAGAAAGCCCAGCTAATCGCTCTGACAAAGAGCTCTCAGACTTCCAAAGAAATGAAGGTAAACATTTATACTGACTCAAAATGTACTTCCATGATTGCTCAAGTACATAGAATTCTCTAGAATGCAAGAGAGCTCCTCATAGCTAGAACAAAGACATTAAACAGATCCTTGATAGAACGGCATTCATACAGGATGTGGCCTATCCAAAGCAGATGGTGATCATGCACTGTTCCAGTCATCAGAAGACTGATGCTTATGTGGCCCCGAGGAATCAGGATGATGCTAGGGGAGCCTGGTAAACAAACTATTCAACAGGGCCCTAAAACCTCAACCTAAACCAGACTAACACAAACCTTTTTCAACGGAGGAGGATGAGAAATGGGCCAATGAATGAAGTTTTGATTCCTGGGATAGAGCTGCCAAGTGGAGATGGGATTCCCAAGGGCTCCTCCTCTTGCCTGACCTACTTGAGAGTGTTCACCATGGGAGGGCACTTTGCTAAATGTCATCAAGCCCCACTCGGGAGGACCATGCCTCCAACAGACTATTCAGCACGTGACTCCAAACTGTGTCTTAAGTACCTCAAACAATCCAAAGACCAAAAGACGGCTGACTATGAAAGGAACACAACATGTAAAAACACAGCCTTTAGATGCTTGACAAGYAGATTTTACTCAAAAGCCTTGAGCCACAGGAAACGTCAGATTGTACTGCTAGACACCTTCTCTGGGTAGGTTGAAACTTATGCCACTAGAACACACACATACACAGCCAAGTGTGGAGGTACTAACCTGTAAGCCCAGCAGCTTGGGAGGCTAAGGCAGGAGGATCCCAAGTTTAAAGCCAGACTCAGCAACTTAGTGAAGCCCTGAGCAACTTAGAGAGACCTTGTCTCAAAATAAAAAAAAATAAAATAGGCTGAGGATGCGGCTCAGTGGTAAAGTGCCTTTCAATCTCTGGTACCAAAAAC